ATAACATCACAGACATGCTTTTTTCAGGCTTTAATTTAATAACTGTAAATGGAAATATGGTTCCCATAAGGATTTGTGAGCGCAAGATGTAAAGAAGGATAATTTTTACTTTCACAGTTTTTTATTGACTAATAAGTTTTTGCTGAAAAAGTAAGAAGGAAACTTAAGCATAGAAAATTAAATGCAACTTATAGATTATACTTTTCATGAAAAATTACCGCTAAAAACTTTATAAAAAATGATTTATTATTGGCCTTTGTTAGTTAACTATGTCAGTTTAAAATTCTATAGAATGCTTTAAGTTGCATTAATTTTCTGTGCTTAAATTTTTTGCATTAATTTTTTCTGTGCTTAAATTTTCTTCTTATTTTCTCAGCAAAAATTTGTTAGTTAATAAAAAATATGAAAGTAAAAATTATCCTTTTTTCCATCTTTCACTAACAAATCGTTATGGGAATCCTGAAAAACCATATCTGCGATGTTATCGTCATGCAATGATTTGTAGATACTTTATTTTTTACCACGATATTTTCGACGCCGATGTTTTTAAACTGTGAAGTTTTTTAACCGCTTTATCTTTGATGGCCATGTTTTGTACCACGATGTTTTATAGCACGACGTTTTCGCCTTGTGTTGTTTTCTCTGCAACGTATTCGTCCGCGATGTTTTCGGCTGTAACCGTCCAAGATGGGCCCATGAAAAAAATTATCACCATAAGTAGGCATAAAGGCAGTATACAAGCTCTGCATGAATACAATCCAGCATACCATTAGAAACTGACTACTGTTTTTTTATTGTTGTACTAATGTGGTGCCGTGATGAGTGTAATGGTTAATGGGGCTGGCTACCATATCATTACATCATTATTCCACGGTCAAATCCTAGAGAAGGCCTTAAATATTTGTAAGTGTGATACACTGACTTCCAATAAGTATTTGGACACCTATGCAAATGACATTACCTGCGGTCCTAAGGTACGTCACGGATTCCGCCTGTATGTATCGTGTAGGAAACAGCATCGGCTTTAGTTGCATGCAAGATGCCTTGCAGTTCGGAGCTCTCTAATTTTAAGAAAGGTATAATTATCGGGTATCACAAATGTGGCCGATCCTTAAGAGACATATCTAGCGATCTGAAGTACCCAAAATCGACAGTGGCCTATGTGATTAAGAAGTGGAAGGTGAGCGGTGATTGCCGGAATGTGCCCCGAGTTGGCAGACCAACGAAACTGGAAGATAGAGACTGACTAGTGCTGTCCAGAGAAATTCGGAAGGACGCACCCAACCGATGGCCCTCATCCGCCAGGAGTTTCAACAGGCATCCGGGAATATTGTTTCAATGAATACCGTCCGTAAGGAAGAACATCTGCTTGGTTTTCATGGTCGTGCTGCTGCCCATAAGCCTTTGATCACAAAGTCCAACCGCGCTGCTCGTTTAATGTGGTGCAAAACACATTGAAATTAGACCATAGATCAGTGGAAATGGGTTCTTTGGAGTGATGAATCAAGGTTTACCCTTTACCGTTCGGATGGCAGGATCTGGGTCTGGCGTCTACCTGGAGAATGTCTCCTGCCAGAATGCATTGTGCCAACAGTCAAGTTCGGCGGAGGTGGAATTATGGTCTGGGGGTGTTTCTCCTGGTATGGGCTGGAACCCTTGGTCCCCATTCATGGTAAGCTACACTCTGATGCCTACTGCACTATTTTGGATGACAGTGTGCTTCCTACGTTGTGGCAGTTTTATGGGTCTAAGGCTTGGTATGGTGCCAATGGAGTTCATCGAATGGACTGGCCTGCCCAGAGTCCAGACCTGAACCCTATCGAGAACCTCTGGGACGAGTTGCATTGCCGAATTCAGGGGTCCACTACCCATGCAAATTCGGTGAAGGAACTTCTATGTCCAAGCGGAGTGGAAGAAAATACCACTAGCTGTCATACAAAGACTTGTGAAAGTATGCCCCGGAGGGTCCATGCTGTAATTACCTCTCGTGGAGGCTCTACCAACTATTGATTTTGAATAAAGCTAGTTTTTCTTTTCTGTCACAGGTGTTCAAATACTTATTGGTAGTCAGTGTAGTTTCTGTGCTGCATAGGGTACTAAAAAGTGCTGGTGAGCTGAAAGTCCTCTTCAGTGGTTTGATGGTAGGAAAGGATGGGTGAGAGTACCGCAGATTTATGCTTTCAGGTATTCTCCATCAAAATTAGGACAGGATTGTAGTGTGATGAAACTGTATCTTTAAAATAATTTTTAAGGCTCCAGAGTTCTTTTAGTTTTATGTCAAAGTATGGTTGTGGTATACCATTTTATACAGGAATAAATAAAAAAAAATTTTTCATTACTGATTGTAAGCGAATCTGCGTGTTTTTTTAGAAATATGCATTCACTGTTGGTTTGAACTTAAGTAATAAGTATTAACTTAAGTATTATTATTATTAATGTATAAGTATTAACTTATACTGTTTGATTTTCTCTGCAAGTGACCCCACTTTCTTTTAGCTATGTTAATGTAATGATTGCTGGTCATGATAATATATCCTGAAATGCTAATTCTCCCTCCTCTAACTAAGGTATGCTTATTTGTCTTAAATAATTATTCGACTCTGCTGTAGTTTTACCTGCCATGAGTAAATCTCTGCAAACCCTCCATGAACGGCGTGATTTGGACACATTCTGGTTCTGAATATGGGGCATTTTTTTTTTCATTTATTACTTTTTGCATCTTTAATAAACAAAATTAGTATAACTCTTTGAAATTCAGACCTTTTGCTAACCTGTATCCTTAAAATACCGAGCCGACCGAAATACTTTTCCAGTTTCACAGCAATTTCCTCCCCTTCCCGTCCATTAACGCAGAAAATACTTGTGAAGATTTCGAATGACATCCTTTGTACTTTCTAACAAAGATTCCATTAGCCTTTGACTTTCTTTATAAAACTATTCTGAAGGTCAGACCAACAAGCCTTTTTGGCTTTGTTATGATCACGAATGAGATTTTGTTTATTTCCGTTATTCTTATACGAAGGAATAAATTGGTTAAAAATAAATATAATCCTTAAATTTTTAAACTGCACTTTCATTGCTGTATATATTTCATTGCTGTATTGTCATAAGCTTAAAACCCCACTGTACGACAAAAGAATCAACAAAATGTCACGAGCAACTAAAAGATAAGAAACCTCTTAGAACAAGCTATCTGCAGTAAACTGATACAATGCATTTGGGAATCTGCATCTGCTACTACATACCTTAGGGGGAGGGAAGAAATCAAGATTACAATCTCGGCCATTTTAGGGCGGTTCCGGTTGTTTCAATGTAGAGCCATGTGGGGCGGATTGATTGTGAAAGAGATAATGCAGAAATTTTAATAGTTTTTTTTTTAATTTAAAAAGTATATTTACTCACACTATTTTCATGCGACATGTTTTGTGAGACGGATTTTGTATCCTGTGAAAGTCACAGGAACCATACGCGGGTTAATAAATGTGAACTTCTTTCAACAGCAATAAATTAATTGTATGGTTGTTTGTACATTTAATTTCCTACAAACTCGTGTCCTACAAAAATTCGTACAGTTTGTGTAGATTAGCAGTTCTGGAAAATGCTATCTTTGTTGATTTACAATTTTATTTGATGAAATTATGTACTTGCTCAGATGTTTCATTTCTGTGCTTTCATTTTCCAAGAATTAGTTGGCTTTGAATTTATTACTAAGTGCTAGAAGGTGATACAAGAAATATCATAAAAGTTATGTTCAGTTCTGTATTATCTGCATTAGCATTCTGCAAATCGTGTAATGTAATTGAGCAAGAGCTGTGCAAGATTTATAAAATACCTGTCATATCTAAAGTTTTAATGATTTTTCTTTTTCTTTCGAATTTTCCTCCGAGTTTGTGAGTGATAATCTGCAACTCTAGTTTTTGTTTGTGTTATGAAAAAAAATTAAAGATAGGAATTTCTTGTACTATAAAAAAGGTTGTTTTTCTTTGGATTAAATAATTAAATGTTCACTTTTCTGTATCACATGAATGCTGGTAGCATATTTTATTCCCTAACAATACATGCAAATATTTGTGACATTCTGTGTAAATCAAAGTATGTAAAGATTCTATATGTGCAGTCTGTATAAAATTGTAAAAAAATAGCCGACAAACAGGCTGGTTATTTGAATGGAAGATCAGCATCAATTACTATGTAAGTGGTTGGAATTTTCGTCATTTTACGTTTATTATGTTAATTTTAAAGATGCATTGGTCCTTATTATTGCAGTAACTGAGTAAAATCAACAGAGAAAGTTACATGTTTTATTTTAAAATTAGTGGCATAAACTGCTGTTTAGTTTTTAACTCAACAACAGTAATACTATTACTGTTTATTACACATAATTTGTCCTGAGGAATTTTTAATTATTAAGATTTAAAGGATATAAATTGATTTTTTAAAAGTGCTTCTCTGTTACCAGGTCACCATTTATCGCCAAACATAAACGTTGGCATAAAATCTAGTTAAAAGGCAGCAATCCTCATGATACATAAAGCTTCATGAACAGAATAGCTTTATATATAATGAATAATTCTGTATACATGTAATGCATATTATATAAGTAATATTGAATGTGCACATGTCAGGGCTGTGCATGATGCCAAATTCATGCTATTCTCTGGTGTTTTTTAGTGAAAGCAAATACTTATGTACGTGGGAAAGGTAAAACTGTTGGTACATAGCAACCTGTTTTTGCTTTAAAAAATGGAGAATAACACAAATTCGGCATTTTTCACATTAAGTATTATATATGCAGTCATTGCACAAGATGCTCATGATTTAGTATTGAGTAGGCTATTACATTTGTCAATTTGATGCCCATTAACAGAAAAACATCTTTTTAAATTTTAGATATTTTTATTTATGTAAAATGTGTTCTTTGGAGTAACTTTAAAGATTTTCTGTATATTAGTATGTTTCTTTTATGTGTTTTTATGAGCATTCTTTTTCTGTATATATAATGTGTATGTGTTTTTATTTTGTAGTTTTAATGACCTTTGCTGGGATTTAATTGAAATTTTTAAAGATGCCACCAAAAAGAGGAAGGGGTCGAGGTAACAAACTTTTATATTTTAATTTATTAATGTCGACACTGTAGATAATTTTATAGTGGTAGAATGTAAAATTCTCTTCAGTGTAATAGAATTTGTGGTGCACAGCAGACTTTTCATGTAAAGTAACCATACTTTGCATAGTCTTTTGATAATATTAAATCGTGGGAAAAATATCTTTCAATAGTAGCAGTGAAATGTTATTAATTTATTGAATATATATATATATATAATCTAAGTTGTGTACTTCACAGCAGACTGTCATTTAAAGTAACCATACTTTGCATAGTCTTTTGATAATATTAAATGGTGGGGAAAATATCTTTCAACAGTAGTAGTGAAATTTTATTAATTTATTGAATATATATATATATATAAAATCTAAATTGTGTACTTAAATGTGGTGTCAGTTAAAAATATAGTAACACAATCTGAAAATGTTATTCAAAAGCTGATCTATAACTAGGTCCATTCGTACCAGATTTTCTGGAGCAGTTACGGATTCTAGTTCTGTATCCTGCATGGATATGCGTCCTACAGAACATTTTGGAGTTAACTATTTGTTTAAAGATTTTTAAAAGTAAATTTATTATTCATAGTATTTCGAGGTACGGGTCATATAAGCCTTGTCCTTTAAAGGCTTGATTTTTCTGTCCTTAGGCATATAATGATATGCCATATGAAATATATTTTTTAATCGGGTTGAGAGACATATTGCAATGAGGTTGTCAATATGTCTGCGTGCTCTCATTGTGAGGACCGCATGGAATTTTTATGCCAGTCGCCGAACTGTCTCTGCCTAAGCTGCATAGGTCCTACATCTGCACTGACAACGTGATGTATGTTTGTGGCAACTTATTTGGAAATCGTCGAACTAATGAATGATGGTGGAGTCTAATGGTTCATAATTCCTTCATGGGCTCTTGGACTACACATTCATTGACATTTGTCTTCTACACCACCTGACACCAATGACTAGCCACGTCATCGATAGATTCCTAATACCAATAAATCGATCGTATGTGACCTCCAAATATATATGTATTAACTCATCAAGTTGCCACCAGTAAGCATTTTTAGAAGTTAGGGAAAAAATGTACTTACTACTGTTAAAATAAAATAGCTTAATTTTGAGTACAATTATTAAATTTTCTAAATTTAATTTTTTTCAGAATCCATCCAAATGACAGGGCAAGAAAAAAGTTGTAACTTTAATGACAGTATGGCAAAATAATTTTCTTTTTTAAAGTGGATGGAATCAATTTTAATGTTCACTGCATGTGGTGCTACTTAACACTTTTAATTACCTACAATGTGGAAAGAAAAACGTTACACGTGCTTGGCACATTAAGTCCCCAAAGCATAAGGTGAATCGAGCAACAGGCATCTTTCCATAGTGTCATGCAGTATTTTTGCAAAAACAAAGTTGTATAAGGAGGAACATTAGTTTGAACTGGCTGAAGCAATATCATCATTCCACATGTCATGCACTGTTAATTGTTTAATTGTATGTATTGTGTGCCACAAAAGCGAAAGAATTCTTAACTATGTTCAAACAATCCAAAAACATTATGACCAAAATAAGAAGCCGTTATGTTGGCTATAGAATATTTCACATTGATTATGACCTTTAAGTCTTCATTGGATACTAATAAATTGATTGCAGCTAGCAACAGCTTTCTTAAAGTAGCTTATCTCAACGCAAACGGCATTTCCAAACAAAAAGAAGAAATCAAAAATAATTTACAGAAATATAATTTATATATAATGCTTATTAATGGAACCCACCTGCGTAAGTCAAATAAATTCTATATACTGGATTATAATGTCATCAGAAATGATAGAGAACACAACAGAGGAGGAGGCATGGTGATCATTATAAAAAGTCATATCAAATTTAACTCTTTTGACCTTCCTAATACTGGGAATATTGAGAAAACTTCTACCATTCTTTACAGCTACCTTAATGAAGCTTATTTATCCATCGTGGTCTATAATCCTCCTATCAACCTTCTTACACAAAATGACCTGGATAACTTAACCTGTGCGAACTTCTCCACAATTATTGCTGGAGATTTTAATGCAAAAAACAATTGCTGGAACTCAAGGGTTAACAACAGAAATGGACAAATACTTAATAACTATTTGCTGGCTTATGATGTAAAAATTGTTGCTCCCTCTGCTCCTACAAGAATTGAACATTCTGACACTGGTGATATACTAGGTATTGTTCTTCTCAAGAATATCAATCAAACTCTTCTTCTGGAAGTTATAGAAAATCTGCCATCGGACCATTTGCCGGTTATCTTTGATTTTTATGGGTTTTACCCTCCACTTCAAAGATATCACACCAAGATTAACTGGAGCAAATTTACCAACAAGTTAATTAATTACAACTGGAGAAATAATTTGCAGTACAGCTATGATGTAGAAGAAATTTATAAAATTACTACTGCTATGCAACATGCCATCCAAGAAGCTTCTTAAGGCCCGACTACACGTAGCGATTTTCTCGGCCGACAATATCTGAGATAGCTCGCCTGTCCACACGGAATGATTTTCTCGTTAGTACAGGAATTCACTCAGCCAATCACTGTGAAAGGAAGTGTTCCCGCCCTCTACAGAGTCACACTGTCTACGATTTGTAAACAAAGCTTACGGTATTGTAAAATAATCAAAATAATGGATGACTATTTTACATTAAATTGCTACTATAGTTACAGCTACAAATTTGAAGGGGGGGGGAAGAAAGAAAATGCGTTTGGACCAGGAATTGGGTCAAACGACGAGAAATTCATGGTGCCTTCGTAATACCCTGCTCCAGGAGTTGCGTATTGAAGACACGGGTACAATTCGGAAAGTATTTACAGATGATGGCGCGTGATTTTGATTTTTTGCTAAATTTAGTTTGCAGCAAAATTAAAAAAAATATGCTTTTCCTTTGTGTACTGAGTACACAGATTACTCTTTTTTATTTTATTTATTATTAATATTTTTTTAATTTCATTTTCTGGCACTCGTATTTGTACACTTAAATCTTGAAATAATAAAATAACCATGTTTCAGAAAAATAAGTAACTACTGTGCTTTAAATCAAACCCTTTATTAATGAATAAATAGACAATAATGTCATGAATATCAAATCAGTATAAGTAAAAAGTAGTAATAAAGATTAAATGTTACTACATTACAAAGCAGCAGTGTAATTTCAGTGCAAAAATTTCAAATAAGAAATATCATAAAGGTGCAAAGTTTTAAGTTGTACATTTATTGAACATTAAAAAACTAATATCAGCATAATTAAATAACTAATACAGTCTGAAAACTATGATCATAGGACTCTATCAGTTAATCGGATAAAATTTAGCAATATTGTATTAAATTGGGCTGTAATTTGTTTTTGCTAACTCAATTAACACAAAACTGAGTGTGTGACTTTCTTTTGATCTAATATGCAAGTACTTAAGTTTTCCAGTAGATCTAAAACACGTGACAAAGGCCATTCGAAAAATAAAAAGAAAGGCGTTAAAATTCAATAAACACAACACCCGTAGGTGAAAAAATAAAAAGTGACTTTTAAGTGATGCAGTTCGAATTTAGTAATGGAGAAACGAAATTAAAAAGTCCTTGCAGGCGCAGAAAGTCCGAAAGTTAAGGTGGGGGACCGAACCCATGACCTCGATCTACAGAGAAAACCTGCTCTGCTCCTTACCACTGGGCTTGTGTATAAAAATTGTCACGTTTATGCTCACGAATTCACGATTCTATTTTTTTTTATATAAAAACAAAACATTTAATGAAGAGCTTATGTACATTATTTACATTATTGAAAGCACAATCATACATATATTATAAATTTTCCCATCATAGGGCCAAAATTCGTTTATCAAGAACAATTACCGCTATGCGGCCAAGAACAGATCATTTCAAGGCGTCGCCCTCAAGCTAACTAAAAGAGAAGTGTATTACATTCCTTCTCTGCCGCCAGTCACGTGACCTAGTCGGCGACAGACGATAAAAAATAAAAGAAAAAATGAATCCATCAGAGGGAAAAAGAAATAATTTCAACAAACTCCCCCAACCAAGGAAAATAATAATGAATAAATGAAAACATTATGAAAAAGAACATTTTTTTTTTCTATCATCAGTTTATCAGTCATTCAGTCCAAATTTTTTTTTTTTAACCAGTCACTGATTATTGCAATTACTGATATCATCAATTTCTAAATTGTACAATAGCTGCACTGGACGTTTGATTACCGAATTACCAGTTTTCACTTCACACGATCTGATCATTCCATCTCTACCAATAAAGGTTTTGGTTATTCTTCCTAATTTCCACCAACTTCTAGGTAAATTTTCATCATGAACAAGCACTATATCATTTACGTTGAATGCAGATGGTTTCTTCTGACCGGTATAATGAGCAGATCTCAAGCACAGGAGATATTCTTTTTTCCATCTGTTCCAAAAGTGATTTATTAGATTTTCTCGTGTACGGAAACGTTTTAACATTACTTCTCTGGAACCTGGTAAATTCAAGTCATTCCTCCTTACAGCTGGCAAACTCAAGAGTCGTTTACCAATCAACAGGTGGGCTGGAGTAAGTGCGGAGGGCTCTTCAAGATCAGAAAAGACATATGTTAATGGACGCGAGTTTATCATCGCTTCTATTTCAAGCAAAAGCGTTTCTAATTCACTTTGAGTCAAAGATGATTTCCCAATGTTCTTTCTTAAACTAGTTTTTTACACTGCGAACTAAACGTTCATAAAAACCGCCCCACCAGGCAGCACGTTCCACAATGTATTTCCATGTGATTCCATGCGAAGCATAAAATTTTTTAACTTCAGGGTGGTTAATCACTTTCCACATTTGCTTTAATTCAAGTTCGGCTCTTTTAAATGTTCTAGCATTGTCCGAGTACACAGTGGAACACAAACCTCTTCGGGATACGAACCTGCGGAACGCAAGTAAAAATTCTTCAGTGCTCATGCCTTTTACG